CTACAAGAAAACCAATTGAATCGAAACACTAACTAGCACAAAATCACCAAAGTAAAAGTCAACTGGTTGCAACAGTCAACTGGTCAACAGGGTTGCAAGTACTAAAATTCTCAATTAGAAGTCCTTGACATTCATACTACTGAAACTCAGGAACAAAACGCAAACAAAAGTAGCTCGAAAGTATTGAAATTGAAATTATATTATAAAATTATATTATAATATATTGAAAAATTATAATCAAGTGGGAATAAATTAGCTAACATTTCCACCAGTCGATTTTCTCAACAACTAGGAATACGCTTACTCGTTTATAAATGTTTATAAACTCGTTATATATAAATTATTTGTTTATATTCACTGCTTTCATCAGAGGTAAACTGGTGACAGAAATCTACAACAACAAGAGTAATTTAATGCATACAAATTTTTTCATGCTTTTTTTTGCATGCAGTTTTTATTTAGATGACCTTTGAGTCTTCTTAAAGCGCAAAAATTTGAATTTCCAGAACAAGGCTAGTAGCATAAAAATGGGGGTTCTGCATCAGAAGGAGCGAGGAGCTAAGGGCGTGGCCAATGACGTCACAGGTGCATCCTTCAACGTCATCAATGACATTGAAGACGTTGACACCGAGGGGACGTCTTCACAAGTTGAGTTGAGTTGTTTTTAGATTGCTAGTTGAGTTGCAGACCTCCTGCTCTTCATTTAAAGTTAGTTTTTTTAATTGGCAACGGGAAATATCTTCTGCATCTTAATTTTGATGATATGGCGATGCTGCCCTCTATTGATGAAAAAGTTTTAGAAATATATTTTAAGTCTGGTCTTAAAATTATTCAATGCACGACTCTTAAAACAATATAAGAGAAACAAATATAAAAAATACTTTCCTTTAATGATAGTTCATTATGTCATGAAAATGAAACTACAAGATAATTTGTTTTTTATTACTTTTATTCGGATACTTTCTTTGATAGACTTTCTTTGGTATCGTACTCTGCGTTTTTCCATTTATCTCCACACGAAGAAATCCTAACATGGCAAATATGGTAATCGTATTGTCTAACAAACAGGTCCACCTCGACCTAACCAGTTTGCATACGGACCGGTTATTGAACTGCCATAATCTACGCCCTCTACAGGCGCTTAAACGCGTCATTTCCAGATACAGATTCTACGACAAAAAATTTTTCTTATTTTGGTCTCTCTATTAAACTTTAAAATTTTCCTAGTTATTTTCTGAGAACCCTGTATTTTTATCTGCTGTTGTCTAAATACAAGAAAAATTTCTAAAAATCTCACAAAAGAAAGACAATACATTTGTAGCAACGTGTATATTCATCATTATCATGTGTATATAAATCCTCTTATGTACAAAATCAATACTTTATCTTTTAGCCACTATATTAACATCATCTTATAGAACATTGTTGGTGATTTATATGTATTATGGTATCCGGCTTCGTTCGGGTACCATTTTTTTAAAAATGGTTTTTATTTTAACTGTAAACATATTAATTTGAAGATAAGCATATAAATGACTGAAAACAGCTTAAAACTTAATAACAAAGTAATTTTTAATTTTGAAAAATAATGAAAAAAAGGATAATTTTTGCTTAAATTTTGCCTTTACGGCAACAACCACGGTGAACAATGTATACATAAATATGTATTTTTGTTGTGTAGATAATTGTCTGATCGTGTTATAAAAAACTAGGTGAGTTATTTTCTGATTTAAGAAAATCTTAATTTTATTTGATTCTGAATTATTTATTTTAATGCTTTAATTTTGGGAAAAAACAGATGCTTCTAAGAATATTATTTAGTTTCAAAGAATATTATTTATTTTCCTTTTATTTGCAATTTCTGTCCAAGCTTTCATTCATTGTGAAAAGAAGCAGGGAAGGGAGGCAATTTTGCTAAATCATGATTTGTGCGTTTCCTTTAGAATGTTCTAGAAGAAATTTCATTGTGCAATTGACCTTTAGGACAGGAAGTACGTGGCAGAAGGGTCAGAGGTTGCCACTTAACTTTCGATGTAGGTCATTCTGGTTTTGGCGATCGGGGTCCGGTTGTTTTCTAAGTGAAGAGGGGCGCGCATGTGTGATCACCCTAATTCGGTTATTCGGGGAAAGAAACGTAAATTTTGTCCAGATTAAGGGGGCGATAAATGAAGCCATTGTGGGATCCCGTGTTGGTGAAGGAGACGAAGAAAATTCGAGTTTGAATCACTTACTTTTGGACTGACCTTTGACTAAGACTGTAACTTCGAACTTGCTCTTGGGTTGAGCGATAGAAAGGAGGAGATGTAATTTCGTCGTGAGACTGTGCTTCCGGCAGAGAACGGCAGTTATGCTATCCGGCCGCCGACTTGCTATCGGAAAAACCAAGGACGATGAGGACTTTCTCAAGTATCTTAAAAATAAGAAATTTTCCTCCAGCGTGTGTTAAATTCCTAACATTTATCGGCCAAGTTCCACCATGTCAATGTGAGATTCTATCCTCGACAGCCAGCCAGCGAACTTTGAAGATTCTGCTCAGGTGCTTGTTTCCAGTGGCAAATTTTCTTCGATGCTGAGCTTGCGGATGTGTTGCTGAAAAATGATGGAGGAGGCGTTCTTCTATATTTCGGTCAGTGATCCTGAAAACGTGAGACTCATTAGACGTCAGTGTTCCCCTTACGGAATGTATTACTCACAGGACTTAAAGGAGGACTATTTATCCCTGATTTCTCCTTGAATGCAAGGCCAGCCCGAGACATTTCCGGGTGCGTTTTAAGTCGTCTACATAACAAATAAGTTTTGATTTGGTTATCAATTTTCATATGAACTTTTGGGAATTGGAACTTTACTTTAAATTGAATCTCTAAATTAATTCTAAAGGAAAAATTTGCCTCCCTTTTCCCCTTCTTAATTTACCGAGACAAACCGGAAAGTCTTAATTAGGAAATTGTGGCACAAAAATATAATTTGTTTGTGTAATCATCCTTAGAATAGATGTTGAATTTCAGATAATGTGTTTCTTTTAACATCTTAGAATATACTGCAGTAATTCAAGTTAAATTAAATGAGTCATATAGTAGATTTGCAAATCATTGATTTAAATGTAAAAAAAAAAGAAAAGAAAAAGAAAATGATAAATTGAAAAATTCGCTTGTGTCTAAAATAAGAAAATTGAACTGCAACTAAAATAAGAAACCTGTAACTAAAATAAGAAAATAAAATTGAGTCTATGATTAGGATAAGATTTAATTTTAATTGTTGAGGAATTTGAATAAACTTGTATTTTAACCTGGAAACCTATTACTTATGTTTTCTTTATATCTTTTATGTGTTTTCTTATATATATATATTGATTTTACATCTTGTTTATACGACCCTCTCGCGGCACAGTCCCGGATGCTTAATACACAACGCAATTTGCACTTTATTTTCATTTATACGATCACTAAAAGTGTGGAAATTAGCTAACTCTTAAGAGTTTAGTTCTCAGTTGATATTTAGTTAGTTACGGTTTCACCTGTCTGTTTCTGCATTAGTTTCCTTCCTAAGAGGAAGTAGTAACACAACAGTTTTTTTTTAATTTGTATTTATGTTTACACTTGTTTTGTATGCAATGAAGAAAAATAATTAAGAAATATTCATATATTCTTGAGATATATCAAAATGTATAGTATTTAGTGTTTTTTCCTATTATTGCATTCAAAATCTAAAAATAAAAAGTAACAATTCAACTTCTAATTAATATTTCTAAAATCTTCCGCTTCAGAGCATGCATTAGATTATATGAAACATGTATAGAAAGTTTTAATTTCATCCATAAAATTTTGTGTTATGGCTGTTACCACTGGCAATATTTACAGAAAAAAGCATTTTTCAGGAAACGAGTTAAAATTTTCATAAAGCAAATTTTTAGTGAAAGATGCATCCATGACATTTAAAATTCCCCTGCTTTGTTATTGACACCTTGTTTTTTTTTCACACACATTGCGCTTTTTCTTTCGAACAAAGTGTAATTTTTTCTTTGGGTTTTTGTAAAACTTGTGGAATGCCGCCAAGAGTCATGATTTTGCACTTTATCCAAGTTTTCGAATTACCTGTTCAGTGTAAAATTCAGGACACATACCTAACCTTGAAAATGCTTCGAGCAAATCCATAAATCCGTCATTAAATAACATTGAGAGCATTAGGTTATATGATAACAAATGAAAAAGATAGTGCAAAAATTGAAGGTTTTCTGACGATTGTGAATAATTATACTACGGTAACACAGTAATTACAAAACTGCTTTCGAAAAGCGAAATAAATGGAACCTAGGCGGTTTCTTAGCAATACCAAATTATCAAAATTTTCATAATTTTTTTGTGTATTATGGTATTTTATTCACAATTATGATATAGTCTTAGAAACATTGTTATAGCAAAAATATTCGACAGTAAATATTAAGTAATTCAGTTTTTCTTTGAAATTGCACGACTTACGTACTTCTTCGAAGCAATCTGACGATAATCAGAGGCACCTCATGTTACGATTATTATGATGTTTGAAATCTGAGATATTATGTTGAGAACCATAAAAAATAATCGAAGAATTTTTTTAGATCATGTTTCACTGCATTATTGCTAGGTATAACGGGTTGCACGACAGACAGGAATGTTTACCGTCATAGGTGTTTTAAGTCGAAAACATACTCACAGTCCTTGAGTTCATCAAAATGTTATCTAAGATCATTTATAATTGTAAGGCTTCGTTGCTTGATTGCTAATTTTTTAAAGTGGTGTAATCTCTAAAATATTTCCAATATAGTTACTTAAAAAAATTCTCATGTGATGGGATTTGTTCCATTCAAGGCCGCGTATTTCAAGTATAGACATGTGTCTTGGTTATCTCTAATCATATATTAAGTTAACCTTTTATTTTTTTATAAGTTTTTCTATTAGTCTAGGGGCATCTTAACAGAAAATCGTCTACTGTTATTTGCTACTAACTTCGATTGCAATTTCCAGGAATAGGTTATGCCATCTGTTTCATTGACTTGTACATGGGCATGTACTATAACACTATTATTGCTTGGGCCTTCTATTACCTCTTCGCTTCCTTCACTTACGAGCTTCCTTGGACGAGATGCGATAACCCGTGGAACACACCCAATTGCCTCACCCTAGCTGAGAGAAGCCTCAACTCCACAACCGAATCTAAAAGCCCCGCACAAGAATATTTTGAGTAAGTTTTCTTTAGAATTTTCTTTCATCCCATGAAACCTATCATTTATTATTAAATTATTTCCATATTTTGAGTTATAAATTATTGTTGTAATGATAAACAGCTAGACTGTGTAGCATACTCAAAATGAACAGATCGTTGAAAGCTATAATTGTGATGCAAAGTTATTTAGAACGATTGGTCAGATTCAGAATAACATATTAATTCTGAGTTTATTAACTGCTGTACTACAGTCTGTGATATAATATATATTAAACCGATGCACGGAAAACGGAAAAGGAAAACTATTAGTTTTTTAATGTTACTAAAATATAAATGTGATGTTTTCTTAATGAATCTTTAGAATGTTGGAACTTTGTGTTTTGCAGCTGGGCTTTTAGGTCAACCAGATCTTACACCACGCTATATTTTCTTTTGAAGGCAGTCAAAAATGTGCTTGTGTCATACTTGCATATAAAATTTTAGGATCTAAAATAAAATGCATTACTATTGATGCAGACAAGATTAAACAAAAAATATGTTTGGAAAAAGTGTAGCAAGAACATTATTATCTTCTTGATTTTGTTTATATAACTAAAGCAAATGACATGCATAGAGGTGTTCTATATGTCTGAAATCATAACCACAGCAATCTGGATATCCATTGGTAATTTTGCATTATTTAACAGCGCAATTTTGAAGATATATCGAATAATTTCAGTGGATGGGATTAAAAGAGTTTGGAAAAAGTTGAGGTATTGCTATTACATCTTCTGCAAAAGCAAAGTAACAGCAGACCTTTAATGAGATCTCGTAATTCAAAATAATTTATGGGATTCTTAACTCAAAGTAGCTCCAGACTTAAGGATAGAACTGATGACCATTCTATATAAAACATGGACTGTTTTTTTCATTTCAAGTGTCATTCTTTTATATATAATATTTTTATTATTTATCCCTCTTCGTTACGTACGTGTTCCTTTTTTATTACATATTTAAAAAATAAAAGTATTTCAAATCAAGTCAAGCAATTTGAAGGATCATGTACATTCTAATGTGAGGAAAAAAGGTAGTGCATTATATACCATCACCAGAATTTACATAATTTTTAAAAATTATTATTCGCTAAGTAAATATTGAAGAAATTGAGATAAACATTTAATATCATTTATAATATAGTTTTGGAGTTAAAGAAGTTATAAAATTTTGCTAACATCTAGATTGTTAAAATAATGTGCCACCCGTTCGTACAGGTTCGTATTTGTCCTTTTTAATTGGCATTAATATGACATTAATTTATGCAAAGATTTTTCACTAAAGCAGGGCTTCTTAAACTTTTTTCACCCGCAACCCCTTTTCATCACTGAGTTTTTTTCGTAACCCCAGGACCCCATAATATTTACAAAAAAAATTGTGGGACCCCCAATAAGTATTGCGCAAATCCAACACACCCGTGAGTGAAACTGTCAATTTTTTCTCTTGTACTGTAATATATTATAAGGTATTTTTTCCACTTTCTTCGCGTGCCTTCGTGGTGTAATGGCCAACACACTAGGCCAATATTTCAGAGATCCAAGGTTCGATTCCCTTGCTAAATTTTCATCTCTCCGGCTTCCAAAAAATACCTTTTGTCTCTACAGTGGTGCCCGAACTAAACGGGTGTTGGATGATGATTCTCCTCACCCAGGATTTGGCGACTGGGTTCCCTAAAAAAAACCCAGTCGCCCTTTAAAAGGAGGAGTATATAAGGTATTTCCCCCACCTTCTAGGCGTGCCTTCGTGGTGCAATGGCAAGTACATTGGGCCGGTATTCCAGAGGTCCGCGGTTTGATTCCCGGCGAAGGCGATTGCTCATTTTTCATCTCTCCGGCTTCCAAAAAATACTTAATATCTGTACAATACTATTGCAGTTTTAGATTATTAACTTTAATTTCTAATTTTAAATCCTAGAACAATGTGAAAATTTTAAATAAGTAATGACAGCTTCACGTGCAAAGCAAGGAAAATGAACGTTTATATTATAAAAAAATTGCGCCAAAAGCTTTTCGTTTTTTCCCCTTTGTCTGTATTGTCTTATCTTTATCTATTTTCAGATACATTGTGTAAAAATATTTGGTAATTGTAAAATTATTATAATAAGTTAAAGAAATATCGAAACTGCTAAAATTTTTGGCGACCCCTTGCTGCAGGTCCCGCGACCCTGGGGGTGTCGCGACCCACAGTTTAAGAAACCCTGAGCTATGGTACACGACTGTTATGATATTAGTAGTTTATAAACAATTCATCAGTTGCATTAAAAAGTGAGTTCGTTAAAAGTGAGTGTATATCTATAAACATAAAAATATTAAGACATTATACTTTGTACAACTCACATTAGAAGTATGAGTTGCTGATTTTACGGTGACATTCAGTAATGTATAATGACGATTGCACGAAATTCAAGCAGTGGTGCTGAAAGCAAATTGTAACCCACTTGTTTTTAACTCCAGTGCTTATTAGACAAACGCGAAAAAAATAACATTCTGCCTTGTTTAAAACTGCAAAACACTTTCATTATGAAACTGTACTTTGTTAGGAATTATAACACTGCCAAGGTGTAGCAAAACAACAAGGAGAAAATTTTCATTTCGGCTTAACGGCAGAAAATTAAAATCTTCTATCAGATAATGATATGCTATTTTAAAAAAAAAAAAAAAAAAAAAAAAAACATAATCTATCATCAAAAAAGGGATTTTCACCTATCACAGGTTATATAACTTCAGAAAATCCCATTTGCTTTGAAGAGTATGATGGCAGAAACCAAAGAATAATAAACCTCAATAAAGTGATCCATTGCCTCTTCTACCAAAAGTTTCCGACTTCTCCTATCTCTAGCACCATATTTCTTAGAGCTGCAACAACTTTCTTGAGCATATATTTATACATAAGGACTTCAAGACGGGGGAGGGTGAGTATAGAGGCATTATATTTGCTATGATGAAAGGGAGGCACTAGATGCTAGAACTCGTTATCAGTAAGTGATAGCGTTGCGTTTTAGTCGGTTGTCTCGGCTTTAATGAGACAATCGATTATTTCTGTGTCCATCGCTGTGCTTAAAGACTTCCTAGAACTGGGAACGCACCTTCCATTCTTCCCCTACCCTGCGAAAGAGATGTGAGGGGAGGGTGTCAGATAAGTGTCATCTGTCACCTCTTTGTTGCTGTGACCTCGGTTGTTTATTCTAAAGGGTGGGTGAGTTTCTTTTCAAGTGTCACTTGGGTCTCATATACTTTAAAGAGTTTTTGAGATTCATTTTATAGTGGATGTTGAAAAGTAGGTAGAAACTTGGGAATCTTTTTTTTTTTTTTTTTTTTTTTTTTTTTTTTACTTCTTACATGCAAGTCTTATTAATATTATTTAACTTATGTATGTAGGCCAAAATTTTTCAAGAAAATTTAATGCTTTGATTTATTGATGGGAACATAGGTTTCTGTCAATGATGAATATTATTCCATATTTTTACGAATTAGCCTGTAGTTACGTATGTGAAAAGAGACGGTACGAAAAAATTTCATACAGGTTCAGCGACCCGGTCCTTTAATATCCCTTCTTTCCATTTTTTTTTTTTTTTTTTTTTTTTTTTTTCCTACAACTAAAATTACACATAGTTGTGTACAGAGTGCTCGAGAAAGATGACTACAAGCTTTCTCTCCTTGTTCAAGCGTTAGGTATACTTCAAATTAAGAAAGTATGTTTACTGTTTACAAACCTAAATATTATTGTATTAAAAGGGAAGAAATGAAGCAAATATTAGCTGAAAGAATTTCTATTACTGCTTAATAACATGCACATGATAATGTTAATTGCTGATTGCACATGATGCAATTATTTTTTAATAGCTGGTGATTTTTGCTTGGGACAATGTCTGATGCATCTCATTAAACGTTTCGTGGTAAAGCGCAAAGTTTTGAATACCTATCGTAAAGTATCCTCTTCTTTCTTCATATCAGACGATCTCCATTATAAAATCAAACAGTTCCTGAACTCTTTTTTAACAATAGGTTAAACTTCTTGTACATCAGACGCTCTTTATCTTCTTCACTATGGCTGCTTTCAACAGTCTTCTGGAATTATTAGACCATCCATGTCTTCGTTTGCCATTTCATGACCGTCATTCTCGATTAATTCTTTGATTTTTCCTACTTCCCTATCTGAAAATCTTCGACACCTATTGCTTTTACAATTTGTACAATTTCCTCGGCTTCATTTTTCAATCCGTGGAAATCCTTTAAAATTGTTGGCAACTTCTGGCCAGAGCTGATACCAGCAAGCATTCATTGTTGAAGAATTCACTTGTTCCTATGCGAATTTAATCATTTCTGTGCAATGTCTTCTGTTGAACTGCTCACAAAATACTATTAATGTGTCTTCATTTTCTCCATCTAGTGTTTTATTTGCAGAGATGTAAACATGCCTGATATTTTGAAATATGATTACTTTAAATGTTTCTATGATTCCCTAATACATTGGTTGTATTCAGAAAGCAATAAAATCTCTACATTAAGGTGCAATGTCGTGAGAGTTTCAGCGTCGTGTCTTATTGGAGCATTATCAAGAATTAGAAGAACGTTAAAGAAGAAGTATTTCATTCTAAGCGATGTTTGACTTTTTTAATAAATGAATTTTCAAACCGGTCGTTGAAAATAACTATTGCTACGTAACAGACGCTATGGATCGTATCGCAGGTAATTGAAATTCTCGCACTGGGCAAATTAAATGGACGCAATTAAGAAAGCGCGTAAACGTCGACTAGCGTTCTGCAAGTCCGCTTTCGGCAAGGATTTATTGCACATCTATCAGAACTACTATTTCGTCTTTTTTGGCGAACATGTGGGTGTCCTGAGAAGAACAGTGAGTTTACTTTAAACTATGTCCGATGAAATTGTAGAAGATATGACAAAGATGGGGTGGCTAAATACCTTTTATTCTTCACAGTTTACAGCTGCTCCCGCACTTCGGGATATAAAGACCAATACTTGTGG